AGGCGTCAAGGACCGCAAGGGTGAGACTGTCCCTTTTTCTGGAGATGCTTTGTGCACTTGAACTCATGCTTGCCAGTACTTGACTGATACCCCCAGAATAGAAGGGGCTTCATGTTAAGAAAAATAAAAAAGCCTACCAGCAAAGGAGTGACTGCGATGAAACAACAAAAATGGTGTAGTTGTATGAAGATAGTACAATCTCTTTCCAGATGAAGTTGAAGAAAAGTCTCATTATACGAAACAGGGGTGATCGACTATTTGCCAGTATTTGGGTTTTTAAATAACAAAAAAAGATGCAAGCCTCTGGCCTTTACTTCGATCCGAGTATATTAGATTCCTTTGGCTTTGAACTGGCATTTAATTAAAATTGACATTTATGATTTATGATGATTTTTCACTAATTTCACAAAATTGGGCATACAGAAAAAAAAAAGTATTTTTGAGCGCTTTTTTGTGCCCACGATATCGGACCATTGATGGGCGGACCATCTGATGTACCTCGACATAAAGTACTGTCAAAATACATCCGACGGTCATAAAAAAATGAAAAAAAAACAAATTGAGATAGACCTGATGTCCGGAGTCGCCACAATACCGGACCATCAATGGCCCGATGTGGGCACAAAAAACTGCTAAAAAAACTGCTGTTTTCTGGAAGTCCAATTTCGTGAAATTAGTTTAAAATGTCAATTTTGAATTTTAACTATATGCCAGTTTTTAAGAGATCAATCATCTAAAGCTCCATAAAAGAAAGAGAATTCAGAGAGAGAGAGAGAGAGAGAGAGAGAGAGAGAGAGAGAGAGAGAGAGAGAGAGAGAGAGAGAGAGAGAGATGCGATTCGTATGCTTCATATACGCTTTCGTAGTCAAGACCACATGGTGTCTGGGCAGAGGAAACAAGTAATTGAAGATAATACAAAGGACTAAGCAATGCTGCGCTGCATGATGATGATTCAGCATTGACGAAAGCTGCACAGCACAGGGCGTCCCCAATTGGGTTGCGGAGAATTTAAAAGCCAGTAAGCCGAGAAAAGTGGACGGGAGGGTGAAGGGTGATGCTCTCCGTAGTAAATCACGAAATTCCTGCACTAGACAGCGCCCAGCTTAACAATGAGAATTTTACAGTTACGGACCTTAAAGTAATACCAACTTACCATCAGTAAACAATGATCTTGTCAGGTGGATCCCTTGCTGATACCATGCCTAACCCAGGGCCACCCGAATTCAAAACCGAGTTTTAAATTTTAAATAGCAAATCTGAAAGACGAAATCCAATGACATTATACACCATGGCGTCACTGAAGCCTATCGTCTTCGGTCAATAGCATCCCAAACCACCGCTCTACTTGAAGTGCGGAGTTCTCGCCGGTCTGTTTCTGTGAAAGGAACGGAAAAAGCTGCTCCTGCCAGATCAGCCAACTAACAAGGCACTGCGACGAGAGCACTGGTCGCAAAAGTGGGGTGCGGACATGCCGTGGTCTGAACTTTAAAGTTGGTACCCAACTTACCCAAGTGCATTAACCTCCTGAAAGCAGAGGTACAACTGGTCCTGAACCCTAAACCACAACCGGGTCGCACATGTCCAGAATTTCCCCTTGGCCATGGAAGATCAAGACAGGGCTAATGGATCGCCAAATTCATGGAGAACTTCGGCAACCTCCCACAAAAGCGGAAAAAAAAAAATAAAAAAAATCAGGTCACCATTGGCGCATTGATTGAATTCGCTGCGGACAAAATAAGCACTCACCATGTGGGAACCGATAAAAATGATGAGTCACTCGAGAGTACATAATCAATGGGTTTTCCCTTTGGATGAAATTTGAATGCGCTGCTGTGCACAGCTGCAGCAGCAGCAGCAGGGCAACCCATGACAAAACCTGCATCGAAGGTTGCGCCTCTTTTCCTGACACAACCAGTAGACCAAAAAGTTAACACCATTGCTGGCGCCAGCAAGCTGCTCACCACACCTGGATGTTCGAGAGCATAGATAGGTTTGGATATATAGTATTTACATATTCCTCCTCAGTCAACAGCCTGAGCTTCTCTCCTCATCCTCCAGCTTGATGAGCCATATTTGTTGTTGACAACATGTCCACAGGAGGGCGCAGAAAATCCAACACGTGACCAACTGGGTGAGCTAAGTGAAGCTACACCAAGTACAGCTTCAGGGCCACCTCAGTACAGCAGAGGCAAGTCGAAAGACGCCAACTTCGCCAAGGTCAGTTAAAAACTAAAACATGCCGCCGTTAGAAGGTACATGCCGAGGGTCGCAGTAATCATCATTTCATGTCGCTAGAACTACAAACAGTGTTGAAACAAATACAGTTAAGGTGAGTCTGCATAGCACCAACCCGGCCAAGGTATATTTCAGTCAAACGAAGCCCAGTCCAAGGTCACATGGCAAAACCAAACGCCAAGCCGCGCAATGCACGCCTAGCTTTAAGTCAAACTAAGCTCCGTCAAAACACATTGAGTAGCTGAAACACCAAGACGCCTCATGCACACCGAGCTTTTAGTCAAACTAAGCTCCGTCAAAGGCCACATCAAGTCACTGAAATGCCAGGCCGCCTAATGTACACACAGCTTTAAGTCAAACAAACTACACTCAGCCATTCTAAGCACAGGCAAAAGCCACACCGAGTAATCCAAATGCCAAGCTGCCTAATGTACGCCGACTGAGCTCACTCCAATCCAACCCAACGCAAGACACCACAGCTCTAAACGAAGACAAGCTACCAATCGCATTTACACTATCTTTCAGCCACACAACCTGAAATCTAGGAGCTTTTCCATTCTGCATCACCTGCTGGGAGGACGCCTCATTGATGCCCATCCACTTTTCACATAGACCCCCTGCCAGGCTTATGACAGTTAATGGCCCATCCTGCTTCAGTGGAGAGAAACCCAGATTCACAATGAAGGGTCGGATTTGAAGCCCGCGCTCAAGCCCCACCCCAACCCCAACCCGAAATTAGCGGAAGCCTGGCATGACGGTCATGACCCCCTTAAAAAAAAACCGGAGATTAGCAGAAGCCCAAAGCAGTCAACCCTTCACCAATCACGCTAACCGGTGCAGCATTAAATTAACGCACGGTAAGAACCCCTCACAGGCTAAATCACTGCTCAGCACTCGAAGCCAAACTAATCTGAAGTAAAACTGAACTTAACGTGACCAATCTAGACAACAATATTAAACGAAATGAAAACAAACTAGTATTATAGTTGCATTTTAAGGGAAAAAATTACAGTAGACTAAGCTGAGCTGATCTAAGCAAAAGCTGAGAAAAGCCAAACTGTTACAGCCAAAGCCGAGGTTTCCTTACATCGGCTGAGATGTTTGGAAAAACTGTCTCGTGGTGCAGAACGCAGGCTTGTAGTCAGGCGTAATGGCGACATAAAAGTAATAGGCCCACAGAAGCGACCAACAGAACGGGATGACATCAATTAGCAGAACAGAATAGGACGTGGGTGGCGGGAATTGGACACGGAAATGCGGCACATTGCTTTCGTTCGAGTCGTCATAAGAGAGGAGGGTTGCCCTTTCGGCGGGCCCGATGGGCGAAGGACACATAACAGAGTAAATCGGCCTGGCGAGATGCTGCGAAGCGAACAAGACGAATAAAACCAAGTTCGAGACGAAAAGAACTCGACTGCAGTCGTGAATGTCTAAAAATAGAATCTTCCACATCACCACTGCCAGTCCAATTGCAATGGACATCACATGGTAAAGAACAAGGTTAAGATTTCTCAGCAAGGCGCCAAGGGCTCCACTGCGGCGAGAGTTCACGAACGAGGACCCCGTCACTTGGAACTCCTTGGGAATCAACGGGAACATAACGCGGAGAATGCCCATGCACAAGTAGGGAGCCATCCACCATGTAGATTGTTCGTCCCGCAGACGAGTCTGGGTTCGAACCATCATCCCCGGAATCCGCCATAGCCGCGCATAGCTGACCAGCCGATAGCTGACAATACACGGTGCCATGAGTTTGACGTACATTCTCATGTCCTCCTCTGTTACATCGATTGGAATCAACGACCATTCGAATGCAAGAATGGAGACTGCAATTATATACACAACAGCGACAGGGAAACAAAGGAACCATTTGGCACCGGAGTACAAGTACATCAAACGGCGATAAAGACTGAACCTTCGGCCAAAATGGGACAAGATCCTGCGCTTCAAGATAATCTGCACACCACCCATGCACCACCTCTGCCGCTGCTCAATGAAACTAGACACCGTCCAAGGTGCCAGTCCCATCTGAAGATGTTGGATCAAGTACACGGAATCATATCCTTGTGCATGAAGATGGAGAGCCGTGTCAAAATCTTCCGTCAGTGTCCCAGTCGAAAAGTAGCCTACCTCTTCAAGCGCTGCTCGCCGAAAAACGGCACCTGTTCCAATGCACATGGCTGCACCTGCGCGCACATACGCTCACCAGCATCAGCTTACTAAGCTCTACAAGTGCTCTCTCTCTCTCTCTCTCTCTCTCTCTCTCTCTCTCTCTCTCTCTCTCTCCCCACAACAATTTCACCTCTGTGTGTGCGCGTGTGTGTGTGAGTGTATAGATAACTATGGGTTGGTGACATGTCAATAGAGTACCGCCTCAGCAAGACAGTTAACACCATCTTAGTGCGAGGGACTGAGATGCTGCAGGGGTTGCGTCCCGCATAATTTATCTAAGAGGGAAATTCAATATGAAAGAGGGAAGAGGGACTGCCAGATAGTCTGGAAGATGCGCAGCTCCGACAGAATGACCCTCACGACAATCGATTAACTTGCTACTTCTTTTTTCTTTTTCCGGTTTTACAAGTGTGCTCCTTCATCGTTATTGTAAACACCTGCTTCATTTTCTTTCTCCTCAAGAAACTATGCCACTTAAACTGCAATCCTGACTATGGTACCCTTCGGGACGACATTCAGCTCGTACGGGCTAAGAGAAAAATTGTCCATGGATTAAGGCACATCGACGGGCAGCATCTTTAATGTGTGCAACTGACTCATCGCCCCTGAGCAGTCCGCCATTGTTTTCTAGGATTGTGTACTTGGGGCGCTCTTTCCATCATCCCTCACACTCCCCATACACACAGTGCCACAAGCAAAAACGTTTACAAGTTATAGACGCCCACACTGCTATGATCAAGATGCAATCTGTCATGTCACAAGATAGTGCCACTGCTAAGGCCTTTTCCGCACGTATCTGACCTTATTTCCGGCCCGCCGTGGCTGTATCTAGCCGGAGTTAAGTCCCGAAATGAACTCGAACAAGGCCTACGGTAGTCTAGAGAACGCCCTCAGGCTATCTGGTCGCCGCACAGTCAGTGGCAGGGCAGCCAGACAGATTCGGTCAAAGGTTGTACAGCGTGAGCGGGCCCTGGTTGTCATCAAGATGATACTGGGGCCTCACCAGGGGCCAGGTCCCGCTAGCAAAAGAGGATTCGACTAAAAGCCTGAATCTGGACCTTGGATGTGGAAAGGTGCGGAGAATGGAAATCGATCTGCTTTTCTGCATCACTGCGAACAACAGGCCCAGATTCAGGCGTTTAATGCCATCCTCTCTTTGCTAGTGGGACCTCGCCCCAGGTGAGCCAAAGGAGGAACTATAGACAGTGTAGAGTTACCAGTGGCCGATCATTTCGATGACCATATCTCAAAACCGTTCTCTTATACAACCAAAAACTTGAAAAAAGTAATTAAAAAAAAAAAAAAAAAAAAAAAACAGACGCAGGGTGCTCCAAGAACAAGTCCACCCCCGCGAGTTTCGTAATCACGTCTGAAAAGACCTTGGCCGTCCTGATCTGCATGGTCATGGCGGTCTCATACACGATCTACCTCTGCACAGTGCAGACGCTCTCTCTTATACACATCTAGATGTGTATAAGAGACGGGGGGGGGGGTGGGGGGCGGGCGGGGGGGTGGGCATGGTGGCAGGCCGTGGTGAGGCGCGGTGGCAGGGCTGGGATCGAGGGCTGGGGGCCGGGGGTGTGGGGGCTGAGGGGCAGAGGCAGGGGTGGATGGACAGGGGTGGATGGGCAGGGGTGGGGTCCGGTGCTTGCAGGGCGGGGTTGGGGGTCTGGTCCTCGCGAGGGTGGGGGCAGGGTTGAAGGGGCGGGGCCGGGGGTGGATGGGGATCCCCCGGTGACAACCCTGTACAGGACCCTTCCAGGCCAACCCCGACTGGGTGGAGAATCCCTACCGAGTACTAGCCAAACTCTGTTTCTACCCCTGTCCATTGTGGCCTTCCACAAGACTGTCAGGCCCCCGAATTCCTGTCGTTCTACCTACAGGCTCAGGGACAACAAAGTTATCACACGGACCCTGACTCAGACTTCAGGCAAGCACACAGCACAAGGACCCGTGGAAGACCACACACACAATACACACATACTTACAAATCACGACAAACAGACTCTACCGACATTGCACATAATTGAAATCAGATCAAAAGATTGCATTTCCTCAGGAAAAAAAGTCCAGAAATCTCAGACCATCACTTGTGAAGGTCATTGCGATAGGCAAGCACTCCTTGCTCTATCACCTTGTTGGCTTCTTGCCAATAAGCCAACAAGACTTTGAAGTTTTAACTTACTTCTCACTTAGACTCTGAACAGTCTGCACTCGATTGAACACAAGCCCAAGAACTCCTTGAAGAAGACCGGCACTGTGAACAGAGCCAAGATTGCAACAAGGCTTCCTTTCGGAGGCTTGTGAGTCAGGATAGTACGAGGAAACTTAACAAGTAGTGCGTGGAAGCAGGCAGCTATGAAGAAGGGAATTACGCGCAGATTAACTCGACAGTCCGAACTTCTTTTTTCCCTTTCTTCCTTTCCCAGTAACATGGGATGATAAGAAAAGTCAACAGGGTACAATGGCAGCAGTTGTGAAGAAGACTCAGAAGAGCATTGCACGCAGAGTACACACAGTTTTCTGCTACAACGTTTTCTGTGTTTTGAGAACTTTTTCGGAACTTTTTCCTCTTTCTCCTTAAACGTTTTTCCCTTTCCTTTTTCACTTCTTGTTCCCAGGAGAGGTAGCAGCACTTCACATCATTATACACACAGCCTTATCCACATCATTTTATCCACCTCGATATCCACATCCTTGTCCGATTATCGACATCTTTGTTGTCAAATTGTCACTGTATTTTACCAGGCGATACGTCCTCTGGCCAGTCCCGCGGGGTTACATTCTGAGACCAGGAAGTGGTGTCAATCCCTCATGCTGCCTGATATAGGGTGCCGGGTGGGGAATCCGAAGAGGTAGTATGATTAGTGGGTATTCCCCATGCCCCCATATAAAGGGGGGCAGGGAATAAGAAGAGGTAAAAATCATCAAAATATTATCCACAGTGACATAGAGAACAAAAACCGCGATACGCTGGGAGGAGGGATAACTGTCCTTGAGGACGAGCAAGAGCGGCAAATCAGAGAAAAAGATAGAACGAATGAGCCAGTAATCATCGTAAATAGAGCCTCTGTTGAGGGTTGCTGTAAGAGAAAGGAAGGGGGAGAAAAGCAGACCGACAACACTTCCTCAAGCCTCTGTCAAGGAAATTTTCAAGTTTGGAATCTCCTCCAAATATTTAACTATTTAATATTACAACGAATTTTTACATGTAATGCCAAAGGGCCATCCGTCAACTATAAATAGAGCCCATAGTACCCATAATAGAAAAAAGTGGACGGGCGGAATAGAATCTAGGCTGTTTAATCCAGGCACACGGGCACCCAACTCTTGCCCGTATACATGCCTGCATGCTCGGCCTCTTGAAAAATGTATGTCAAGTAGAATTGCAATACAAGCGACTTTTGGCTGAGGGTCATATTGGAATTCCTCACGGAATCAACGCTAAAAAAAACACAACAGAATGAGACTAAGGCACCCCCCTTTAAACCCCTTGCTCTCCATCAGCGTTCCGTCTCGAACGCCCCCTTTCAATGAACCCAGCCAGATAGAAAGCTTGTCCATGTCAGCGCAGTTTCAATGTCTCTGAAATCATACATGTAATCAAGTAGCCCAATGTCTCGTGACCAGAGAAGAGGCAGATGGGAGGGAGAAGAGGGTGGAAGAGAAAGTACCCATCAGCTCAGCAGATAGATCTCCCTCACCAGACCACTCCTCCTTCGGGCACCCCCTACTCGCCACATCAGCAGACAGCTCTGACACGCTCTGACAATGAACAGATCTCATCATGGCGCACACGGCGCAGATTCCTTTGAAGACGAACAGCAATGCACAATGTCGACACGAACGTAGACAGGTATGATTCCCTGACAACCAATCTGCCCTGATCCTCCTCCTCCTCGCCGACATCCCATCCATGCCGTAGACAATGTGGCGAGAACCACGTCAGCATAATCAAGAGTCCAGCTGGCGCCGTCGACAGAGAAGGCACCGGCACCCAAGCAGTAGCAGTCTCGCGTCAACGTACCAGCGTATGCCAGCGTCAAGACAGCGTCAAGCTAGCGTCCACCCAGCGTCTAGCCAGCATCGGGCCAGCGTCCAGCCAGCGTCGAGCAGCAAGTGCAAAACTGAATGTCGGTCAGCAGGGGCTGGGTCAATATATACTGTTGACGCTGGTTGACCAGCCTGTGATCTCTCAGATACGATGGCCCAGATTGACTCGCAGCCAATGGCCTGGATCCCATACAGTTGCAGATTCCCACTTCGACTTTATTCTCGACGGATACCTGCAAACAGCCAAGTGTGTGTGTCTGATCCGTGGCCTGGGCTGGGTCCATGTTGACTTTGACTCGTGAGCCTGAATTTCCGAGCTGCTGTTGACCTTTGACTTCCACGGTCAACTGTCGCACATTGAGCCGCTGAAGGCCGGTTTTAACCGGCCTTGGCTGGTTTCAACCAGCCTTGCTTCGGGTACCCCACAATACCAGGCCTTCTTCGTTCAGGCGGTGTTCATGACTTGGGCATGGCCGTTGACCCCTGTTTCGACCTTTAGACCAGAATGACGACCCATGGCCCACAACTATGGCATGATTTGAGCTGAGTTATTGCACCTTACCCATTTCCCGCTCCCTTGACAGCCAACGCTCGAAAATAGACTTTGAGCCCGGATTTGGGCTCCTCTGGCCATGCTCAAAAAAAAAAAAAAAAAAAAAAAAAAAA